AATTATTTTTGATATTTTATGTTTCGTTTATAATTATTGTCTATATATGTTGTATTTTGTTTTTTTTAATGTGCAATATAGATGTATAACAACTATTTTGTGGTTTTATTTCCCCTTGTGTAAATATAAAAAGACGTTAAGTAGGTTGAGTCTTCACTTTCCAATGCAACACTATTATTTCGTAAACGATTAGGTTCGGCACAAGCCCTTTTTAAAAAAAGCTACGAACATGTCCAACAAAAGAATTAAATGGATCAAATCAGTGGAATAGGCTCATACAATAATTAGTTCCCATTCATTTGACAACGTTGCGATCTTAATAAGTCTGCTCTACCCCATCGAAATGGAGTCAAAGAGTTGATTGTATTTAGTCCAGTCAATGATGGAATTGGAATAATACTAATGTTTTACAACTCTTGTAGGAGTTTCAGAAATTACCGGTACCGTGGGACGTTAGGCGCGAAGAGTATTATTCAAAATCGAAAAAAAAAATAATGCATGGCAACAACTAGTAATCAATTGCAGCATTGAAAATTTAGACTGTTGCGAAGAACAGAAAGAAATTAAAAGTCTGATGGGATCATTTTGTCGCCAAAAAAGCAAAAAAAATGTTTTGATACCCTGAAAAGATATTGCAACCTGCTGTGGGAGTATAGAGTTGTAAAAAAACGCAAGGTTATGGCTAAACGTTCTCTTGGTGATATAGATTTTCGAAATTGTGTATCATTTTGCATTACCGTTAGTGTTACTAACGTTATCAGGTATTCAAAGTCAGCCTTAGTCATTCTTGTAAAATTTCTGAATTAATCTGTATAGGGACTGTCTGATACTAATTTCTTTAATAAATTCGGTTATCCACCAACAACGACATCTGCGTTTCCGATTTTCTTTTTGATTAAATTATACAGTATAATAAATGTTGCTGCGGCTATATCTCTATGCTCCGTACGCGAACGACTAGATCAGCCCATGCGTTGAAAAATGGATTCAAGTTTAAACACTCTCCACGCACGCGAACAAATGCGTGCGTGCTCATATGTAAACGCACCTTTAGGGTTCAAAAACGGTTAACTTTTAGTGTTTCGTACGCTCACTGTTGACGGGTAAAGAGGACAAAGCCCACATTTTTTAGCAACAAATAAATCTAGTTTATTCATATGTGTCTGAAGAATTGTTTATCGGATGTTGAAGCTGGTGGATTGGTATGACTGACAATCTCCAAGCATGACTGCCGACTTAAATAATACGTGATAATATTATTTTTCTCTATAGGGGATACAAAGAACTTCAAGATAAGTAAGTAGCAAATGCGTGTTGCAAGCGTTAAATTATGAAATATTATTCAGACAACTCTTACAAGATGAGGCCAGATGAAGTACGATTTCAACCAAAACAGGTTCACTTACCTAAATCATGATGCTTGATGCATAATGATGTTAAAACCAACCTTACCCAACTTTTTTGATTTCACGAAACGGTGGACAAAAATGTTTGCGATATACAGTTTATTTGAAGCAAATTGACATTTACTATGACATAATTCTAGTTCGACATAGCAGACATCAGGCGAACTACTAAGGATGAGATTATCTTGTGGTAAAAGTCGTATCGAGCATTTAAGCAAACGAAAAAACAATATTTTCACATATTTCGAAAACTCTAAATTGTAATGTTATATAAAATTAACCACATTTTCACTGCTTGATACGAGAGAAAAAATTGTTGCAAATCATTGGCCTGCATTTATTTTTCCGCAAAATATTTTGATTTAAAAAAAAACGCCTACACTTAGGTTTAGGATTATATGCATCAAATGTTTTTAGAAAATTGAACAACATACATAAAGTTAGTATCTATCTTCGGTATCACCTGGTATTTGGGCTTTTGCCTACGTGGTTGCTTCACTCTATTCGTCAATGTCCATCAGAGCCGTCCGTGGGACCTTCGCTCTTTGTTAAAGTATCGTAGGTCAGTAGGTCTGTCAGGTCTGGTTGCCCAGATACCAGACGAAGTCAGGGAGAAAGAAAGGAAGAAAGGGGGAAGAGCAAAGAGGGTGAAGTGTGCCGGTTGAAGGGATGCCTTGCTATTGTTAACTGGTATTCGGTTATTTTAAATTAATCCAAAAATTAATTTAGGAATTTATGTGTGCCAAAAATTGTAATTTTGGTTGGACCTAGAATTGCACGATTTGATTTGGATCACAATGCGAGCCGCGGTCTTGTGTGCTTGCGAACTTGCTCGACTGTGTAGCCTACCGACTCACGCAACAGAGGGTTGCTGTGCGATTCCGCTTGACTATAACGTAACTGCGCCTGATGTTTGATGTAGTCCCTTAGGTAAGGGATCTCGAGGTCTATGTGAAGGGTTTCGTTGGAGACATACCACGGTGCGTTAGTGATGGTTCGCAAGGTTCTGTTCTGCAAGAAAACACCATGCTGCGCATGCGTAAGTGATTGCTGGTCTGATAACCATCTTGTATAGCCGAACTTTGTTAACGAAACTTAATTTTGAGGTTCTACATAGCAAAGAGTAGAGTTGCCGAAACGTAATTTGGAATTTAGTTTTTAACGCTTCAGTGTGATTCTGCCAGGTCACCCCCCTGTCAAGAGTGATACCGAGATACTTAGCAGAATTTCCCCATTGTATGTGAGCTCCATTCACTGAAACCTCGGGCGGGGTGCCGCTTCGTTTTTAGTACAATAGATAGCCTGCGTTTTAGAGTAGTTAATTTTAATTAGCCACCGATCTGCCCATTCCAATACCTCATCCACCGCACTTTGTACTATGTCGTGAACCAGATTTTCGGTACGCGACTGGGCCACCAGTGCAGTGTCATCAGGATATAGATAGACTTCACAGTCGCTAGGGCAAGGGACATCATGCGTGAAAAGTGAGTAAAGGATTGGCCCTAGAACCGAACCCTGATGGGCCGTACTGTCGACAAGAAATTATTCATTTTGATCCGAAATTTCCTACCTTTAAGGAAGGATTTCAAAAGTTTTAGAAGCCAAAATGGAAAGCCCTTTTGAATTAGTTTATAGATAAGGCCCTTGTGCTACACCTTGTCAAATGCCTTCGAGACATCCAGAAGCAAGCTACCAGTACTTTCGTTAGACCGAAATCCAAATTGCGCGTCAGGAATCACATGGTGATCTGACGAGAAATTCGTAAGGTGACGTAGAATCTCCTTTTCAGCGAGCTTAGACGGAGCAGACAGTTGGCTGATGTGTCGATAGTCCTGGGGAAATATCAAACCCACCTTCTTTGGAATCATTATAACTTCCGCAGCCTTCCACGCCGATGGATAGTACTGGGTCCTTAGCATGGCATTGATAATAGCCACGAGGTAAGTCAAGGACTTCCGTGAAAGCAGCTTCAGCGCCTTATTAGTCGCTGATGTGTGCAACTCTTCAGCTGAAGAATCTTCCGAAAAAGAATATTTTGAGGAAGAATCACTAATGGCGGCGCCGACATCACTGACGCCGTTGGTCCTAAAATATCTCCTGACGGATCTTACAATTTGTTGCTCCTCGACGAGATCATTATCAAGATCATAGTTGGGAGAGAACTGTCGTTCCGTAGCATCAGCGAAAACCTCGACCTTGTCCTCTGTCCTGAAGACTTTTTGTCAGAAATGTTCTGACGAATGTCTGCAGGGAGAAAAGGCCTGCCGTGTTGTTGTACAGGAACTACAGCTGCTCGCTGCAGAGCTTGCTCAACGAAGCTTGTCCACTCCGCTTGAGCCGCATCTATACCGTTCTGATCATCTATGATCGGGATATTGGGGAACTGTCTAAGAAACAACTTGTATAGTTCCTAATCAACCCGTTTCCTTGGAGAAGTTCCCTCTTCCAAGGTTTGCTCATTACCCACTTCCAGTACGACAGGAAGATGATCGCTAGAAATGTCATACAGGATCCGAAAAGTGATACTGTATCTAGTTTATACATACTGCAAAGTCGATGACATCCGGTGCCTGAAGGTGATTAAATGGGTGGTGCATGGGCTCTTGAGTACTGTGTATAAGGTAGCCGTATCGTATCACATGGCTGTACAGTCGAATCTCACTGGTGGAATTCAAGCTAGAATGCCATGGTCTGTGTTTGCCGTTGAAGTCCCCAGCTACAATAAGCGGACCAGAGTAGTCCATAAGGACTTCCAGGTCCACCTCCTGCAGCCTGGCACCACACCTGACATACACCGATATGATCTTCAACGGGACACCTCCCGACATATTGACTTCCACGGAAGCCGCCTCAATGCTCTGCATTTCGGTATTTGTGCTTGTATGGTAGTCAATTACCACGTTTCGCTAGGACTGCCAAGCCGCCACCCCGTCCAGTTAATCAATCAGCTCGGATAACATCATAATTCGGGAAAGCTAGACGATCTCCCGGATTAAGCAATGTTTCCTACAACAGAGCCACACCTATACTCTCATCCAAAAGTACTTGATGAAATTCTCGTTTTTGGGAATATCCCTAAGACCCAAAGAATTCCAGAAAAGAATTTTGATGAATGCAGGCTGTCTACTATTGTATCTAGCCATTTATCGGAAAGATCGCCTGCAAGGCCAGTGTAGCGCTTATTATTATCTGCTGTAAGGACCTGAGCGCTGTTGCCAGGTCCACGTTTTGAGCAGTCGAAGGTGTGCTCGGGACAGCAGGGACAGCTAGAATTTCAACCTTTGCTGCGTCAGCGTATGATTTTACTCGCCTTTGTGCGATGATCTGTAGATTTCTCCTAGGAGTCGATCTACAGGTAGAATTGTTGGCCGGATGGTCCCCTCGACAGTTCGCACATGTGTGCGCCTCTTGTCCTGTTTGAGGGCTCAGATGTCTCAAGTGGTCTTGAGCACATTTGAGACACTTTGGAGGTGCAGTGCAATACGATTGCGCGTGTCCATACTTTTGACAGCGGTGACACTGCCCAATGAGTCGAGAGTTCTTTTGAACCTCAACTCTGATAGAGAGCCCCAGCAGTTCATGTTCGTTGAACACTTACTGTGACTTCTCTGTCTTAGGCAGGATCACCACCACCAAAGGCATGGACACGCCGTCGTTGCGCTTCAAGCGAATTACGTGGAGGGGAGTATATCCTTTCTGTTCGAGCTCCTCTGTGATTTCCTGCTCAGCAGTTGACGCTAGGATTCCTCTAATAACAGCGTGAATGTTACGCTCAGAGGGCAGGGGAAATGTATGGTGAGGAACATTTTCCTCTTTGAAAAGACGAATTATCTTCCGATAATCGTCTTCGCTTTTAGGTACGATGCGTATCCCAGCATCAACAGCTACTGCTTGATCAATCTTAATACCAAGACTGATAAAAGAATGTGTTGACGGTGCGCCACTTTGCCTCATCCCGCAGCACAACAGGTGTAACACGCCCCTGGCGGGGTGATTGTGCCTGCGTGCCGAGGGTAGCGTTAAGGTGCATCCATACATGCCGCCGGCTTTCAGACTGCATTGCCCCTTAATATTCCGCCGGCTCTACCGGCGGCCTGCAGATGCGGTTGCAATTTTCGCAGTACTGTTCTGACTACCGTCGAAGTTAGTGGTGTGCGTAGGATTTCAAGATGTTAGAGTATAATATAGATGCGCGTATCGCAGATGTGTTGTACGTTATTATTCATAAAAAGAAAATAATGATACGAAATATTTGATTTGACCCAACACTACCACTCCGTATCGAAACCGCATGCAAACTGACGCCGGCAACCAAAAGCCGCGCGTGCCGCAGGTAAAGATTCGCATGCCGGCGGCCAGGCCGATGGAATGCCAGCCAAGGAAGCAGCTTGTGAGACTGAAATAGAGTTGCGACTTTCGTTTGAGCTAGGTGCTTGCATTTGAGAGTGCTTTGGCTGGCTTGCAGCATCAGTAGAATAAACAGACACAGGCGGTGTTGTCTTATTGAATTGGTATTGACTGGGGATTTCTTAGTCGGAGGGGAAGGATATTCGTTAATTTGACGAATCTGTCGTTTTTTACGTTTCTGGCTGGAGGTAAAATCACTACCCTGTGCGTCGTCTTCTGTCTCTGTAGGTGAGGTAGGGCTAGTGTGTCTTCTCTTGGGAATTCTAATAAAACTGTCATCACGGGGCATGTATTTATTCAAAGAAGTATTAAAGCTAAAAACCTGGGCATTGAGATTATCCACGCAGTCCGTCAGTCTCTTGATTTGAGCTGCCTGGTTATCGATGATTTGGTACAGCCTCTCCTTTTCGGTGTCTCTTTCAATATCTGCAGCTGTCAAAGCCTCACTAGCGTTCGTATTCTCCAGTCTCTCAGGTACGCCGCTTTTTACTTCTTTTCCACTCGCTGTGATGGAGGGGTCGCGTGGTGACCACTCGGACGTGCGTTCCATCTTATATTCGCCTTTTCCCTCAGCAAATTCTTAAAATTTTTAAGGAGCAAAAATCTGACTTGTCTTTTCCCTGTCTACAGGGCGATTCGCGGTTGCTTCTGTATAAAAAAAAGCTTTTGAAATGTCACGTCGAAGCCTGTAAACAACTCTCACCAAGGACCTAATATTCCATCCTATAAAATCATGATTGTACAGAGACTACTCCCAACAGACAAGCAACAAAGGCTTCAATTTAGCTATCATATGTTACAAATTTTGAAAAAAGCTGACGTGATTCTCATATCAGACGAAGCTCATTTTCACTTAGATGAATACTTGATGAAGCAGATCTGTCGTTATTAGGCTGATGGAAATCCCAGAGAGTTACACCATCAGCCTTTTCAATGTAAGACGGTGAGCAGTTTCCAATATAGGTTTGGACTATGTTTTTTGAAAATAAACAGAGAGTGGTGGTCACGACTAAGTCAGATGGGGATATGTCAAAATGATTCAAGAATTTCTGATTCCACAACTGGAAGAAAATGGGCAACATAATATAGTCCCCCCATTGCAGACCGTAAGCGCTGTTTCCTGGACATGTCATTTTCCGCAATGGAGATGTTCCTTGGCCGACTCGCTCGCTGGACCTGACGGTATGTGACTACTTTTTGTCGGGCTACCTCAAAGATACATAAGCCCCACATCGTTAAGACATCAAAAATAAATTTGCTACTATTCCAACCGACATGCTGCACCGAGCAATGCAAAACTTCAGTGACTGACTTCGAAAATGCATCACTGAACAAGGAGGGCACGCTAAAGAATTTACTTTTCATGTGCAACTTGTAACGAAAATAAATTTCCATTACCATTCTTAACTTAAAAATGTATTCGTCTCACCTGACTTGAATATTAGCAGCCATTTAAAATACATATATATCGGATCAAAACGCGCCATCCTGCACATTTTTTTAAGAAATTATACACAAACCAAAAATATTACAGATATGTTTATTGATGTGGATCACGGATCTTCAAAATGAGACCTCGAGCTGGAGTAGTGGGTGGTATTGGGGGATTAATTAAATAGTCCGGTGAAATTGGCCTCGCATTTTATCTGCCAAACACCTGAAACGGGAATAGTCGATGCGGTAGGGAGGATTAAGGAATGTGGTTTGGTGAAACTGACTTTGAAACTTTGCTGGACTATTCTCATGAACGATGACTCATTTTGAACATGTTACCATCCCTTTCGTAAATATCGCAATGATTCATGGTTTTTTGTAAATGCATTTTTCAAAACTTGTGCAGTAAAAAACGAAGAATTCTATTGTAAAATCTTTTGTACTGTTTTTTGTGAAACTTTAGATATAGTCTAATTGTAAAACATTTCCGCTCACGAAAGGGGAGTAAAATAATACAAATGCATTAGAAAAAAATATATATTAAAACATATCACTACAAATAAATATAGGTGATCAAATTAAAGCCATAAAACTTATAAACTACGGCCAATATACTTTTTGAGCTTTATTTTTGTAAGTTCAGTAGCGTACCTAAATATTATCTACCAAATACAATATACACCAACGAACATCAGCTACTGAATGGAGTACAATTTTTTTTATAAATCTAAGAGTTTACAGACTACGAAATTATCGTAATATGACTTGTCTCAAATTCGTGAAGCACAACCATCTTGAAAATTTGAAATCATATTTAAGAAAGGATGACGAAATACTACATGACCAGTCGCTGTGGAAATCTGTACTCAAAATATTGTGAATACATACCAATGTGAAGATCGGTACTCTTCCTTTCACAGGTTTAATCAGAATTTGAATTTCGAAAAATGAAAGAATTTGAATTCGAAAATCTTTAGGATGGCTAACTCTCTCTAAACAAATCTTCAATAGAACTTATACTATAAGCAGCAATGCAGCAATTGATTACTCGAAAAGTAGGCAAAATTACGAAAATTTGTTAATCTGGTAAAATGCATGGGAGTCATTTGACTAAAAAGGAGGCAATTCCGGTTATACCAGATACAGGCTTGTTTGTTTTAAACAGAACCTGGTTATTATTGAATTCTTGGATTGTACTAAAGATTCTGAACAATTCATGTATATCAACGTATTAATATTATTTTGATGTATCTGCAATTTTATGTAAAAAAATTGCGTCGTATCGGTTGACTCTGCTGCACTTTCCATGCAACACCGTCAACTGTTCATAAAAGAATACAGCAAAGGTTATCCCCTTTAAAAAAAGTTTGAGATGCGATTTTGTAATATCGCTACAACGTTGTAAGTCACACATTGTTCCAGTGTTAATTTGTGAAAAAAATGACTGGGGTTTTCAAAAACTTAATTTTCATTATGTAATGCAAGTTTCATGCTATAAGGAAACCGTTACAAATCGGATTGCATAGGAACAAAGGTAGGAAAAATTAAAGATTATACAACAGCCAACACAAAATATCTAAAACTTTTGACAAAACAAAATTTTGCCACATTGAAGGTGCATGATTATCCTTCATTTTCTGTATAGGGAGTCCCACTAAAAATAAGCAAGTGGTATCAGCTTGCGGTTAGCTGGAAGCACCATTTTGGAAATAATTTATCACGACATCACGAAGCGTTCGATCAGCTGTGGCACGCTGCCCTCTTAAGCAAACTTCCATCCTATGGCCCCCCAGAAAAGCTTTGCAGATGAGTGGCTGATTTTATCTCTGGCCGCAAGACATCCGTCGTAATTGACGGGTTCTCCTCTTCATCCCACATCGTCAACGCGGGTGTTCCCCAGGGATCGGTCTTGGCTCCCACACTGTTTCTCTTACATATCAACGACCTCCTTTGTTGCATGATCAACCCAATCCACAGCTTAGCTGATGACAGCACTCTACATGCAGGAATTCAGAGTGACAAGCCGATCTCTGCCGCTGAGCTGGAAAAAAGAAGGCTAGCGACGGCATCCTCTCTGACAAGAGACCTGGAGGCTTGGGGACGCAACAATCTTGTACAGTTCAATGCTTCCAAAACACAGCACTGTACTTTGACGAACAAAAAGCGTCCTAGCGCTCATCCGGTATCGATGGATAGCTGAGTTCTGTCAAAGAGCCATTCATTTCGGCTGGTCGGAGGACCTGATCTGGCACGCACACATTTCGTCAATAGCTGCAGCTGTTGGGAAAAAGCTAGGCTACTTGTTTAGGGCTAAGAAGTACTTTTCTCCACATGACCTTTTCACTCTATACAAGGCCCAGATAAGGACTAGCCTCGAGTATTGCTCACACGTTTGAGGTGCTGCCGCCTCGACTAAATTATCCATGCTTGATGCTATCCAGAGGAGGGCGGTCCGACTGATCGATGACTCTTCTCTAACAAACAGTCTCGGAACTCTTTCGCACCGGCGAGCCATCGGCGATCTAGCTCTTTTCTACCGCTACACCAACGGAGCTCTCTTCCATGATGCCGTCGTGCGATGTGCCTGCTCGACAGACCCGCCTGACTTTGGCCTCCCATCCTAACCGCGTCGAGCTTCGTACATCCAGAACTGGGCGATACGACCGCTCCTCTGTCCCAAGGGTGTCGAGACTGTGGAACAATCTACAAGAGGAAGCTTTTCCCAGTTCTACTAACCTTAGACAGTTCAAAAATCGTATGAACAAAATTTGTTTGGGATCATCATAGCATCCGCGATGTTCCAGCATATAGGCTTCTGCCTGCGCGGCTGCTTCGATATAAAAAAAATCCAAATTGCTCCCATCAATTTCCTTCGTATTCATATTGACGGCAAGTACTCCTTTCGGTGTTATTTGAATCAAACAGATACTGTCATTAAACACTACTGCGCTGTCGGTTCTTTATTTCGCCGGTTTTGTTCAAATCTTACATTTTAACATAAAAAGTGTGTAAATAATACAATTATAAAACAAAAAAGATTTTGAGACAAGCCCTGTACAGTATGCCTCAAACTGAGCAAATCACAATTCATCACTAAACTGAATAAAAAATGAATTTCATCAATAATTATAATAATTTAAGGAAAGAAGCAAATGAGAAAGATACTATTAAACATAAGAATTATTATCGCTATTGTATATCTTCAAAAACTCAAAGGCGCAAATCGATTTAAAGTTCGGTTGTTGCTTTTGGGTTACATCTCAAGCAACTGGCAGACTCGTTTTGAAGTTGTGGGTAAAAAGCCACTGGTTATCTACTTACTAATAAAAAGCATGAACGGGCATTTTTCTTTCGTAAAAGCCACGATTGTAAGAATCAGCAAATGAGTTACCCATTTCACAGGCAAAAGATAGCCAGATCAATGAACCAAAAAAGCTCTTGATACATAGATTTCCTAATGTGTTCAAGACAGTGACAGAAATAAAAACTATGAAATGAACAATAGATACCAGAACAGAAACATTGTTGTTTTTAATACATTTGGCGAAAAATATGATATATGCTAATTTTGAGACATACCGTAAAAATGAAATGAAATAAAAGACGCGTGTAGATCACTTAACATATAAGGAAGTCTTTAATAATAATATCCAAACCAAAACGTAATATTTTAAATTAAAAACAATAAAGCAACAATGTCAGTAAATAACATAGACAAAAATAACATTGCTCACTTGTTAATAACAGATATGCTGGTCGCAAACTTGGAAAAAACACCTTATTAACAACTGTATGTGTGACTATCAAAAATTCAGGTTTAGTCCAATGGAAAGTGACCGAACTTGGCGAAAAAATGTATAGTTGTCTTTTAAGTGCTCAAAGCAATAGAATATTTTGATAAGCGTTATCGGATTGGCGGATTGTTTTCAAAGAATAGAAATAAAAGACAATGTTAAAAATAGCCATTTTTTGCCCTGCTGCGAACGTACGCAAACCGGTGAAACCCACTGTTTATGATAGTAATCAGAAATACTGAAAACCTGAAAAGTGGGGAAAAATGTAGTACGTCATGACTAAAATACACTAATCACCCCACAAAATATTGGATATACACAGAATTAATCCCAAATGTTCATGATTAGAAATAGTCAACAAGACTTAATGGAACCCCGAAAAGTGTGGGGAAATCTAGAGTGCTATCCCTAAATGTGAAAATCGACAGATTTTCAACATTTGACCTTTCTGCGTTTTCTAACAAAATCATTCCCAATCTGTTTCCAATAAGTATTTTTGACTACGTCTATCATCAAAAACAGTTTTTCACTGGGTTTCGTTCTTTCCCAGAGGGAACAGAACGCTTATTTTCCAATAAAAATTTTTTATCAACCTTCAACGCGAAAGAGTATACAAAAATAACTTTCAATCCATAAAAAGTAAGTATGGAATATTTTATACGAAGTTTTTTTTTCAAGCTCTCCACGATTATTGTTACCAATCGTCTAATATTCTGCAAAAAGTAAACACATACCTTCGAAAACTTAGGATATATATCTACTTTGTATGCCGGAAAAGTAGATGCAATATCAACAACCGAAAACTCTCGTTCAATTTTCAATTTTTGGCGTAATGACCAGATTGACCTTGAAGAACTACAGTGAAAACAGATTCAATTTTGTGATATAGGAGTCTAATCCACCATTATTTATGGAAAACTGAAGAACACAAATTGATGTGATGGTATTATCTCAGCATTGATCTATCACTATTAATGGTACTATTACATAAAATCAGGATTGTATAAAGTGAATTTAATTGATCGTAGATATACTCGCTGCTTTTGAACATTATTTAGGGTGTTCCATTTTTAGCATCTTAAAATCGATTTTAGTCATTTCTTTGTAGCCTCACAAATCTTTATCCACTGTATATTCTTTTTAATTGGGTGGCCTGCACAGCTTATCCTATTGAATCAATTGTGATACCAGCAAAAAAGAATACGGGTTGGACCTGTAATCTATTCTACTCATAAGACAACATTTCATCCCCTCTTTCATCAAATCATACACCATTTGTTGCCACGTACACTGCCTATGATGCTCGGTCTATGTATTACTCGTAGTACAATATTGTAATTTGGAGAGATTCCTTCAATGAATATTTCCTCAATATGTGGATACGTAACCACCAACCTTTAGTTCTTAATACGGACCTGGAAGTATGTTTTTATTGATCTAGATGAAGTAACTGAGCAATAACTTCCTGAATTTAACATTAACGTGGCGCAAGGCTGGAATAATAATTGTATAAATTCTTAGCCCCTCCAGTTCTTCAAAATGAACAAAAACGTTATCTTCAGCGCATACAAACCCATCTGCGCAAAGAACAAAAATGGATCCTTAGCACGAACTGTTTGTGCTCTTTGCAAAATTGTAAAAGCCATTCAGAAATTCCAAACTACACTGTTTGTGTTCGGATATAATGGATTAACAAATTTTTAATTAGTCCGGACCTGTATTTATTTTTCTGTTGGTATTACAATCGATTTGACAGGATAAAGCTGAGTACGAGCACCAAGTTTAAAAAATATACAGGGTGCGTCATCTTTTATGTCGGTATGTAAACATTGAATAATTTAAAGCCGGTTGATTTGGTTATACGTGTTTTTGAAACGTCAGTTAAGTACAATTTTAACCATGAATCGCTTCACACCGAAACAAAGCGCCGAAATAGTGACAATCTACATTGAAAATCGTCGTTCAGTCGTGTTAACTCAACGTGCATATCGTCGAAAATATCATGGCAAACAGGCACCGTGTGACAACAACCAAGACGTTCCAATGAACTGGTTGAAGTGGTCAGAGAAAGCGTTGCCCAGAACCCAAAAGTGTCCTATCGTCACGCGCTCAGCAATTTCGCGTCAGTGGATCCCCTTTGCGGCGTATTTTGATGATATGCCAGTTTCCGTATCACCACATAAAATATTGCCGACAGACCGTCCTCGTCGCTTGGAATACAGCCAGCAGTGGCTCGAATGGTTCACGCTAAACCTGATTTTTGGAAGCAAATTTTGATGACCGAGGAGGCCCATTTGACACTCTCTGGCGGCGTTAATAAGCAAAACTGCCACATTTGGGGGACGGAAAATCCACATGAGATCCACGAAATGCCGTTGCATGACCGGAAAGTGACTGTTTGGGCCGGCGTTAGCGCCAAAACCATCATTAGGCCATTTTTCTTCAACGAAAACGAAACAGTCGATGGAAATCGATATCGATATGTCTGCCCACAAATGCGTGAAAAAGTTCTTGATGGTTACTGGTTTCAATAAGACGGTGCGCCATGCCACACTGCAAATGAAACAATCCAGTTTCTGCAACGAAAATTCCCTGGACGTCTGATGTCAAAAAGAGGTGACATTGACTGGCCACCCAGGTCTCCAAATTTGACCCCACCGGACTTCTTGTGGGGTTATTTGAAAAGTCAAGTGTACGCCAGCAAGCCCCAGACCACTGAAGAACTCAAAGCAAACATTCGTACCGCAATCGCCGCTATACCACCCGCGATGGTCGAAAAGTAATGGGAAACGCAGCAAAATGGGCACATTTCCAATAAATTGTCAAGGAAAAAATTTAAGAAAATTGCATATATAGAAATCAGTTTTTTTTTCAAAGTTATTCAATGTCTACATACCAACATACTAGATGGCGCACCCTGTAGACAGTAATTAAAAAGTTGTGAGACTACAAATTGTCAAAATAAAACACTATATCGGTTATAGCGAGCTAAAGACCCATCAACCAAATGTTATCTATAATCCCCTCCGAGGCCAATATACACAGTTAAATTATTTCCTCTTCACATTGAAACACCCTAAATGAATATAACACTAATTTAACCAATACTTTTTTCAAGAATCTGGTAGCAACAAGTCTTTTATAAATGTAACTTTAACTAGGATTATGCAACAGGTAATACAAGTACAGATATTTTATTCAAGGAGATGTACTAGTTTGTGCTTTTCCATTTACTCCAGTTGTACAGATAACTTAATTTCAGAGCACATGGATTATTGGAGATCAGCCATTTAACGGTTTCTTTTGCAAAAGTTACAAAACTGAGTAAAGAAAGATCAATTTTGACTAATCCATGACTTCTCCAAATCATATTGGACCACCAAGATCGAATTTTCCTCATTAACAATATGGTTTAGATAAAGGGTACCCTTATTTCACATTAGTTTACATTTCAAGTTGATATTTGTATTTGAAAACATGTAGAGTTATCCCTGGTTTCAAAGATCTGTACTTTATTCAGCTAGAGGTATGTAAGTGTTATTTGATAGTATTGGCTAAATCACTCTTGTACTTAACTATTGGTTTCGTCTGAACACATTATCGAGCGAAAAATAGAAATAATTTCCTATATAACTTGTAAAGTATCAGCAACAGTTCAATAACATTATGTAAAAATATCTTCAGTCTATAATATGACATCTAGAACAACGTAAATCATAAGAAATAAAAAACGAAAACTTTTAAATTAAGGTCCAAAAAACTGCACGCCGAAAATGTTAGATATAGAACCGTACACACGTTAGAAAAACAAAAAAAAAATAATAAAGTCGTACAAATATATACGTATACGTATAACACTATGGGACTTTTGACGGAATTTTGAATTTTCTTTATCTCCAATTCGTAATTTTACAGAAATTATAAGGTTACCTTAGGCAACTGGGGTTTCAAGCTCTTTAATTTTCATGCGCAAGGCAAACGTATACACAAGACAGATTTTTCTTGTCTATCAGTTACAAAACTCGCATCACTACCAATATCAGTATAAGGGTTGCTTCAAAACTCAACAAAAAAAAACAAAATAAATGAGAAGAATAACGTTTTCGTCTATAACATGTGCACGTTTTGTGCACCATTAAATAGATAGACGTGGATCAAACAATAATAACATTAACTATTTCGCCTAAAGTGTTTAGATCCCGACTTCTATCTATCAAAGTGCTTCAGTATTATTTTCCTTAAAACCATTGATTAACGTATTCCACCTGAAAATAGTCCACCCCGTGCTTTAATCGTTTCGATTATACTTAAATGCTAAACTCAGGCGCGACATCTGCCTATCATCCGGCACGGGTATCACGTATCTTGAAAAGTGACATTATGCCGATTTTTTTTGACATTATGCTGTTTTTTTGACATTATGTAGGTTTTTCTACAAGATGTTAACTTAGCACTTAGTTGTATGTGTTTCCTAAACGTCATGAGGCTTGTTATCAATCTTTGGCTCTGATGTAATGTAAAATCTGCTTCTGAGATGGCATTACTGGAGGTCTAAGCTGTAAATTGTATGTGTTGATGATAATTACATTGGGTTCTTGTCTCAAATAGACTTAATTGAGATTAAAAGCTAGAAATTAGTTGCGCATTCCACTTTTTCTTATCCATTCTGGAAAATACAAATTTGCTGAATTTCAAAAATGAGAGCGATAAGAAATAATTATATTCACTGTACACTGTCGAATTACAAGTCATATACATGTATGTTTCCGCGAATCCCGAACAGTCGGCTCAACGTGGCAACGGTTAGAGAGAGAGAGAGTTGAGAGAACAAGGTACAGTCCACGCTTCTCAGCACGACAAAAACTGTCTAAATAAGTGTAAAATTTGAATATTAACGTAAAAAAGTGTTATTGTAAAACGTCTAATACAGACTGCAATTGTGTATAACAATAAAACTCCAAGAATTCAACGCAGCAAGCAACAAGTCTGTTCTTCATTTCACCCCACAAGGCGGCGACCTAACCTCTCAACACAGTAATTACACTCAACGTGGGCGCGGTGACGATTTCCCGTAATTCTCCTCAGTTTTTCGTAATTTATAACTTTGAACATAACCTCTCTTCAGAAAGCACAACATAAAAATAACCCGTCGGGCATAGCCAATAGATATACTTCATTGGCAGCATATTCAGTAATGATTTTCTCATACAGCAAATATCACTGATTTTAAAGACATGCAGACCAATATACATAATCATCCAGGTGCGATCTTGCTATTCAACCAACTTTCTTCTCAGAGATAAAAACTACAGATAAGGACCATTTGGTCTCACAAAACATATGCAACCAGGAATGAGTGATTCCTCCTTGGGAAACGTGGAATGACTGTTTGCGCCCTAAAAACTACCTAGTTTGCAAGATGACATCTTATAGGTTTTTTTTGACGTTTTACAGGTTTTTTACATGATACCCATGCATTTCTCATTGAGATGACACATAACCCTAAGACCTTGAGAGAAACTTTTAGGACACTCGCGCCATCTAGTACATATACTAAAAACAACCATAAGAGAAGCAGGGGTGCTGGCAGCTCAAAGCATGGATATAAATGAGAAAAGTGAGACTTTCAAAAAAGTATATACATATACATAAATAATGTTGAATACGTTAATCAATATTGAAACCCAGAAATTCAGGAGACAGGATAGAGATACCTGACAGTATTATTGTTCCGACAGAAAAGTTGTGAATATTTGAAGTCAATATTTTCTTTATTTACGCACGTTCTTTTAGTTTTAGGTTTTATTGTTCAAGTCCGTCCGTTGAATGTTTGTAAAGATCATTGTTCCTTGGATCAACAGCTGACATTGTTTTTGATAGTTCCATTTGTCGATCAATCTCTGGTCGTCCTTTTGTGCTAAATTACTAAGCATAACATTTATTCTTGATACATTTTTAGGTCGGCCAGACCACCATTGAATCGATTTTCAAAACATACAAAGCGTTTTCCTTTTTGATATGGTAGTAACTTTGTATGACAAATAGCAGGTAGACCATCGATAATGAGTGAGGTTTTATGAAATGTAAAAAACTGGCGTCAAGTATATTGACTCCAACGCAATTTTGGACAAATGAGCTTTGTATATGCATCATGTTTCCGATTCAACTTTAGTATGCTTTATTGTTCACCAACTATGAACATGTATGTATCCTGACAAAAGGCTGTAGGGTAGAATGAATACCAGTGAAACATTGTGAAACAAAAGTACTGTTCATTTGACAAAAGATTGAAATCAAGGACTTTGAGTATGCACAATACATCAATACTATTATCTGAATCAGCTTTCTTACATTCCGATATTTTTCTATTGGCTGGCTATGGAAACACAAGTGGTCATGCAATATAATGAATATAAGTAAGGAAATAGTATAGTGAGCTTTTTCTTTTTTTAAGCATTCCTTCGTACAAGGAGAAGTTACTAAAATACACGAGATTCTTCATTCCACGAAATATCGTCATATTCACTGAAGACCGGTGAACGTTCATTATTTCACACCTAAATCTACAGCCCTAACGTTGTATGAAAATTTCATCACAATCCAAGGTACAGAAGAGCCAATGATTAGTCACCAGACAGGCCGAAGGAAATGATTGGTGTTTTTTTCGTGATATAGATGTCATATAACATCCAAAAAACATATCTCATTTTCGAAATTTTTCGCTATTACAATAATTTTTCTCCAGTTGCGTGGAAAGTAAAATATATGCTGGCTGTGAAATGCCTGACAATTACAATACTTTATTGTAATTACAATACTTCCTCGCTATTACAATACTTTCACGCCAATTCGCGTGGAAGTAATATACCATCTCGGAAAACGTCAGCCAAAAATTTGTATCAAATAGGTAAATTGGGTCGCCCCGTGAAACCATTTTAAAATAGACCCTAGGCGTCAGGTTTAATTACTATTTGAAGGTATGCTAAAAATTTGTTTGTTTTTAGAATATATCAAGGAAATAGATCACTCACATTAGAAAATTTGATCATGCCAGTGAATGTTGATGCCTCGGAGCACTTTTATCAAATCGCAGTATACTACAACACACTAAAGCGCGGTGTAAGCGATAACAATTTAACCCTTGAATATGGAATATAAATAAGGGGTCAGACTTCCCAAAATATTTTTTCGTCAAAAACCTTTAGCCGTATATACGTTTGCCTTGACACCTATCAACACCACTATCACGCATCCTTCTCCCTCCCACTACTAAACACCCTTTACGGTACCATAATCAGCTGCACTACGGCTACTCCTTGATCACTGCCGTTTCCTCCGTTTGTACCCTTTCCCGCCCTTCGGTCGTCTGCCACCACCACTAGGCTGTTTCCGCTTCCGCTTGTTGCTGCCTCCAATACCTCCTCCCAAGATCTCGTCTGCCAACGGAGCGCCACCTGTCGTCAATCGTCGCCTCATTTGCTTTTCGGCTTTCGTCATGGGCAGACGTGTCATGTATTCCTCTTCGTACCTGCAGCAGGCATGTATAGTAGTGTATTTTTAGAAATGACGTTACCAGATCTACTGATCAACATTCCTATTGATTAGTTGATTGATCGAACTAATATTCAAATATTAACTGTTCTTTTATAACAAACAAAAAACAGATCTTGTACAGGGTGCGCCATCTTTATGTCGGTATGTAAACATGAAATAACTTTGAAAACGAAAAACTGATTTGTATATATCGGGTATTTTTATTAAATATGGTCCTTTACAATTTATTGGGAGTAGTTTTTGAACACATCTATCAAGTGGCGATCTTTATTGGCCAAAACAAAATGTGCCCGTTTTGCTGCGTTTTCCATTACTTTTTCGAGCATCTATGGTGGTATAGCGGCGATTGCGGTACGAATGTTTGCTTTGAGTTCTTCAGTGGTCTGAGGCTTGCTGGCGTACACTTGACTTTTCAAATAACCCCACAAGAAGTCCGGTGGGGTCAAATCTGGAGACCTGGGTGGACAGTCAATGTCACCTCTTCTTGACATCAGACGTCCAGGGAATTTTCGTTGCAGAAACTGGATTGTTTCATTTGCAGTGTGGCAATTGAAACCAGTAACCATCAAGAGCTTTTTCACGCATTTGTGGGCAGACATAATGAGCCAACCATCCACCGATATCGATTTCCATCGACTGTTTCATTTTCGTTGAAGAAAAATGGCCCAATGATGGTTTTGGCGCTAACGCCGGCCCAAACAGTCACTTTCCGGTCATGCAACGGCATTTCGTGGATCTCATGTGGATTTTCCGTCAACCAAATGTGGCAGTTTTGCTTATTAACGCCGCCAGAGAGCGTGAAATGGGACTGGTCGGTAATCACAATTTGCTTCCAAAAATCAGGTTCAGCGTCAACCAGGCGAGCGACTGTTTGGGCGTATTCCAAGCGACCTGGACGGTCAGTTGGCAATATTTTATAAGGAAACAAATGCAAATCATCCTGCAAAATGCGCCGCAACGTGGTACCACTGATGCCAAAATGTTGAGCGCGGTGGCGATACGACACTTTTGGGTTCTGGGCAACGCTGTCTCTGACTGCTTCGTTGATGAACGGTATGTTGACGATCTCCCACTGTCCCGTACTCAAGAAAATTCGAAACCAAACGACGGATAGTCTTGTCAGACTGTTTGCCACGATATTTTCGACGAATTGCACGTTGCGTTAACACAACTGAACGACGATTTTCAATGTACATTGTGACTATTTCGGCGCGTTGTTTCGGTGTAATGCGATTCATGACTAAAATTGTAGTAAATTGACGTATCAGAAACACGTATAACCAAATCACTCGGTTGGTAAATATCAAAGTCATTCGATGTTTCAATACCGACATAAAAGTTGTTTTGAATAGAACTTTGATCACTGTAACAGAGGTTTCTTTTTTTTTAATTAATAAACATTGATCATATCATTATTCCCAAAATGTTTAGAAGAGCGAGGGGTAGCAGATTTTCTCAAGGAGCCAAATTTTAAAGAGCCCCAAAGTTGTTCAAAAAAGCATGGTAATTATGCAATTTTAATTCTATGAGCCTGTTTGACTAATTTTCTTGTGATACAGCTACCTTTTTTCTCAGGGGGGGCAACTTGTGCCAACTATGATCCTTTATGAAGTAGGACAGCATTGCGTAAGGTAGTGCAGAGTCATCCTACTAGACTCCATTTTTGTTTCGTGTATTTGCGGAAATATTCTAAATTGCGATAATTTTAAGTGCCACTTTCTAGAGTCTGTTTGAATAAAAGTCTAGACCGCAAAAATATTCATTCACTTCTTGTATTTTCCGATAGGTTTGATTTCCGTCAGCTTAGATTTTATCAGATGTTTGCCGTCATCTCCCGGAACTGGTAGGGCGAGAACGACCGCGAGGTAATACAAATTTATGGAAGGAAAGTCAATTGTAAAAAGTGAAAATCCCCTTGCTATCTTACTTTAAGGGAGCTAAGCAAAAGGTTACAAGTAGTTTAATTTCAAAATGGAATCGTATGTTCGAAATTCAAATCTTTTTCTAACCTGAAGTAAGTCGGTGCCGCCGCCTTAAAGCTACATTCTCACGGACCGAGGCAGGGTAGCGCGATTCTTGCATTCGTGGAATTAATTGCTTCCAACTGAATGGTGTCAGGAGTTTGCCTTCGATGACTTTAGAAGAGAGAGAGGTCCACGGCTGCTCACGCGCGGTATCAAACATGTTTGATTTTCAGGCGTAGACTCGTCAGTCACTAACTTAACAACGCTTTTTCTGATTTTTTAATTCCACATGATTCTCTCAACCTTTTCACTAACATAGCACTAAAATCTGAACTCGAATCTGCACAAATTTTAACCGGTCGGGTTCGAGGACTGATCTGAATCGTGAGCGTGTGGACAGCCGACGACCCTCGTTGGTTCACTTTTCACTCCCCAAGCCAAACTTAACGAAAGAGAGATCGAAAATGTGCCATGCTATCGTTCTTTCTGCCACGTGGGTAGGTAGCTTAAGTACTGGGTGGCATTGGAATAATGCACACTTAAAATAGAGTTACCAAAACCTGCATTGTTCATTCAAGGAAGATTGAGTACTTAAGTAGCACTCGACACATAAATAACTATCTATCTATAAATAAGGACCTAGGTCTGAGTTTTTCACCATGAACCCCATGCAAAATGTATCTACTATAACTGTAATTCTGACTATTTTTAGATACTATTGAAGGACAAAAAACATTGGTCAAAAAAATATCAAACCACTATTATGGTTATTTTCCATTAGCTCCAAGATATAAACAAGAGGCCGGTATATAACTCAATGTATATCTCACCTTTCTCTTTCTTGTTGCTGCTTACTAAGAATCTGCTGCGCCCTACTGCTCTGCGAAACCTCTATCGGAGTGTCTAAATATTCCTCACGTAAGTCTTGCATTATAGAAGCTGATAACGCGTGTTTCTTGCTGCGTTCTTGTAGTCTTTTAGAACGATCTTGTGCTGTTTCATCACCTATAAATTATGAAAACAAACGCGTTACCGGCGAAGTCTAAAGTGTGATTATGCCTATGAGTTGCAAGCAATTTTAGTTGAAGTGCAACATGAATCAGGTTTGTATGAAAAACGCGATGAAGCAGAAATATAACTACTAGGATGAGTTATAAAAGCTACACTGGGTGAAAAAAATACAACTTGTGCTGTTGGAAAATTGTCCCATCAGACGAGTACAAATAATGGACGAAAACCATGATTCATCAGCATTCTTATTGTGTCGTTTTACTTTGACTTTAAATAGGAATGATAACAGAAAATATCGGTCAGGTCAGGACAGAATTCCGAACAATGCCTGAAGCAAAGAGTCGTTATACCAGTGTTGCCGAACCGAAAAAGACGAAACCGGTAGCGAGTGTCGAGGAAATTCGGTAGATTTAAGAACAAAATCGGTAGGAGTAAAAATAAGCGCCTTCACAAGATCAGCAATTAATCAAAGGACATGGTGCTTGAGTCACACAGTGCCTTCTATGAAAAGATTGTATTTTTGTATTGCGCGCACATACACAACAAAGGTTTTTTGAGAGCATCTGTTCCTGAAAAAAATCTCAAGTTCTTTATTACAACTTGTACAATGAGCATACTGGTCGCTCTTCAAACTCCTTTTGCCACTCTTGTTTATAAGATTCTGAATATTTTTCAGTTTCAGCCCTGAACTTGTAGCCGCAACACCTGACAATTACAACAAATCTACGACACTCGTGTGCCCGACTGCCTAAGTGTACGTTTATGTATGACTGGTCTGGGGCATACAACTACATATACTACATAGAATTATTTTAGAGCTTTGATTTTGGTTCCAGCTTTTTCGGTAAAAATCTGGATATATCATAATTATTTGTAAAAATTGTCGAAAATGGTCTCCTTTCGGTAGAAATACCGAAAAATCGGTAAAAATAACAAAGTGCCTAAAATTGAGCCTAAAGGCACACCAAGTAATAAAGTGCTCATTTGACGAAACTCCAGAAACTCAGATGGGCTGAGATAGGCAGGTTAGGTATGATTTGAAAAACTACAGTATATTCAGATAAGAGATAGACCGGATGTAAACAAAAGGTTCGGGTGATTTTCACGCTAACGCCGCCGTCTCGACGTAAAACAGGAGCCCTCATTGGTCAATTCGCAATTAAATGCCTATGCCGAGCGGCAGAGCAGTCGTATCAAGGCAGAGTCACATTCAGGTTCAGACGTGTTACGTACATATGTCGTGTGCATCATTGCAATTTGATATTTCTTTGGACGTTTTCGTTTGTTATCTTATTAAGTTGTTAAGTTTGTCGTTGTTATTGTTATACCTTGTTATTGATTGTTATTGTTATCAACTGCTTGCGCAAAATGCCCAGTAGTACAGATACTGCCGATGAAGTTGTAAACTCCTGAGGTCCACCTAGGAAACGCTCTAAAAAAAGACACCTGAGTGCAGAAATGAAAGAGGTCATTTTGAATATATATAAGATCGAGCGAGGAGAACGAGGCATCAACCATCAAAGAAATTGTTGTGAAGGTTTCTCACAAAGTTGGGGTGTGTCGCGCATCAGTGTTTAATGTGTTAAGACAATACAAAAAAAATCACACCTTTTCTGAGCCAATGACCAGTAAACATCGCAAAAGTATTGTTAAATCATTGGATGAGGCTGATAAGCATGCGATTAGGAGGAAAGTGCATGAATTCTTCTTTAGGAATGAAATACCTACTATAGATAAAGTACTGCAGGAGGTAAATGGAGATACAACGTTGCCAAATTTCAAACGATCAACTTTCCATGCGTTACTGAAGCATTTAAATTTCAAACGGAAAAAACGGGGTCGTAATAGTTTACTACTGGATAGAGAAGAAATTGTGCTATGGAGGAGGGATTATTTAACAAAAATTGGGAAATATAGAAATCAAAACAGGAAGATTTATTACCTTGATGAAACGTGGGTAAACGCAGGACACACTACAAGTAAAGTATGGGTTGATGATTCTGTAACTTCATCCAGGAGGGCCTTTCTAGATGGACTGTCCACCGGATTAAAAAATCCAGCAGGTTGTAACGGTTTCACCGTCCGATCGTATTTATTAAATCACTTCTCGATTATCATTTCGTTAATCCCATCTCTAGCTTTTTTGCTTGGAAAATTTTCCGCTTGGAGCGCTTGATGCGGAGTTCCTGATCTGCGATCTTCCTCGCGCTTTCTTTTCACTTGAGCCGCCGATCGAGCAACGGCTAGAAATTTCTTCTCAGTAGCACAAGGTTATATAGCACCATGTGCTAGAATTTTCTAGAATGTGTGTCCGTATAGGACAAAAATGATTGGGGCCACCCCCTTTCTCTTTCCCTTTCACTTTGCCTAGCCTTGGCCAATATTTTCACCCATGCATGTACCTTGGCAGCGCCATCGCCTTTAACTTCGCCTACAACTGGTTGTGAAGCCACTATATGGAGGTCACCCCTCATAACTGGGACCTCCCCTTCAAGCCCCTGGCCATCCTGGCTTCAGTCGAGTAAAAATGGACCAGCGAAAGATAAGTCGATAGCGTTATAGCAGCGCCAAAGATGTAAAACTTATTTTGTTATTTTTGTAAAATTGTAATGTAATGAAAATGCCTTTTTTTGTTAAATAAAATCTGTTAAATTTTTGTGTTCTGTTTGTTCTTCTATCCTCTAGCCATGCCATGGTCGACACACAGCTACACGCCTGTAGATGTCTTCATGCCACCGACTGAGCTACCGGAAGCTAATTGTAACCCCCTTTCTGTGATTGTGCAGAAAACTTGGAATCTTCATTGCATTCCATCTTTTCTGGACTTTTTGCGGAAAGGAAGCGTCACAAGGTAAATACGAGTAATAGACAACAATCGGATGTTTTTCAAACCTTGGGAACAAGGTTCTAAACATTAATTCCAGGGGGGCAGATAAAACATATTACAAGTAACAAAACTTTTATAACTTTCGATAAAATGCGTGGATGTTTTATTGTCATTTTCATTTGTTAGAACTTTTTTAAGCCATGTTTTTATGTGTTTTCGATATTTCAATAATTTTTTAATATAATCTTAAAATATGTCGAATATTATAAACTTAAAAAAAGTTACTAAGTTTTATATTGTGTACCGTTCCTAATATTTCTAATCATTTTAATTCATACTTTAAGCTTTATAAAGTTATAATTTGTTAATATTAATATTTGCGCGTATTTCAGGTTCCTGATCATTCATTTTTTAAAGGTTTATAACTTTAAATTAAATTGTGAAGCGCTGAGTAATCATACGACGTTCAATATTCTTTCTTTCAATATGACTAAATAATCCCAATTATAGCAATCTGATACTCATGTCTCAATGTTTTTTCGCTGAATGTGATGAAAACATTTGAAAAAGGTTCGCTTATTGAAATAAATCTACACCAGTTAGTACATCGATTTCCAGGTAAAGGGAAAAGGCTCATTATCTGCCACATTGGCAGTGAGGATGGATTTGTTGTTGACGGTCTGTGGTGCTTTGAGTCTAAGAAAACTGGAGATTACCACGAGGAAATGAATGGCGAATCGTTTGAACAGTGGTTTTCAAAAATTTTACCGAACTTAGAGGAAAACGCAGTAATTGTGTTGGATAATGCGCCTTATCATTCTCGAAGAATGGAGAAGGTCCCAACAACGGCTTCAAGGAAAGTTGATGTTCAAAATTGGCTCCGCTCGAAAAATATCAACTTTGAAGAAGCAATGCTGAAAGTATGTACAATTATTAAGAATTGTCAAGGATCACAAGGCGGAATATCAAAAATACGCCATTGACGAAATGGCAGCAAGTCAAAATAAAACTGTGCTCCGTTTACCTCCATACCATTGCGAGCTCAATCCCAGTGAGCTCATATGGGCAGAGGTTAAAAATTATATAGCTAAGCACAATACAACTTTTAAATTTTGTGACCTCAAAGGACTTTTCAAAGAAGCACTAGAATTAATAACAGCGCAAAAATGGGAAAACTGTATTAAGCACGTGAAAGACAAGTTGAAAAGAGAATGTGGGAACTGGACAATATTTTAGAGGAACAAGTCGAGCCATTCATTATTGACGTTGGTGCTTCAGGCAGTAGCGATGATGAAAGCTCATCAAGCTCATCTTTCCAATAAAAGATGTCGTTCATCAAATTCGGTAAGTTATAAGTAATTATAAAGCTACTGTATTTTTTAATTAATTATTGACATTTTTGAACCCATTTTGTTAAAACCTATTCAAGAATCTACTTTCTGACAATGTTCAACCATGCACATTTTTTTACGTTTTGAACGTTTTAATTTGGTTACATATTTACCTAGAAATCAAAAAATATACTAATCAATATTCTAAAAGCAATTTTAAGAGATATACGATTATTTTTAATTTAGGCTAATTTAAACGCCATTTTGAGATTATATTCGACTGTATTTCATCAAACATCAGGCGGCATCCGAAGCTGGAAATCGAAGCGAAATTTTTGAAACCCTTATGTATATTTACATCATTATATATTTCTTACCCCACCCACACATGATCCTATATCCATCACCAATCGTATACACATCGAATTGTGCTAATTTACTACAAAGTTACGCAAAGCAGCATCTACTATCTAAAATATGTACTGCGTGGCTCTTAATACGTCCCTGACGAATGTTACAGCGTTCGATGATCACGTGGTCTTGTTTATGTCCGGTCTATCTCTTATCTGAATATACTGTACTGAACCACTATTTTATCAAAACCATAAAATTTCAGATTGGCACATATTAATGTGTGATCAATTCTATCAAAGGCCTTGGAGAAATCTAGTGATACTAAGGCGACACACATTTTTATCAAGCGCCCTTATGTGTGTGCATGTGCCATATTAAGGATCGGCTAGCCTGATATGCAATTTCCCTAGGGAAGTTAAGCGCGGCAAGTAGCACAGCTAATGTAATCTGTCTTATTTCTCATAAAAAACAGATGTGCTAGAAAAGTAGCACTTTCTTCACTTTGTTAAGTTTAGCAACACTGCATAGCCGCTTTCTCGGTATCTATGAGCGAACCGCCGAACCAAACGCTGGTCTACTGTAGCTGCTAAGCTATAATTGGTTGGTGTTTTGATCAAGGATCTCTGTACTTTTAAAGTAAACCAGTCAATGAAGCCAACTGGCGGATTTCAAAGACATTCCATTCAGTCTCCTCTTTTTAGTAAAACTTCTCTTTGGCTGACGGCTGGTTATGCAGAAGAAATACAGAAATGTGCTGTTCTGAGTCAAGTCAAAGATGGTGACATCTCCGTGGACTAGATCTACTCTAGCTTAAGAATGCGTCACAAATTTTGAGCGCATAGCTAGTCCTAAACTATAAAAGTGACCCTGATCTGTGACTCAGAATATCTATATGCAATATCTCACCTGTATAATGTACTGCAGATAACTTGGGTGGTACATAGACACCAGAATACTTTGATCCAGCAGCATCATTTCCTTTGTCTTCATCACTTTCCTCAGACTCGTCTGTCCCTTCTTCAACATCGCCTAACAGATGGTGTGGATTGGCTCGGAACGAGGTCGGATCATCTGCATTTGTGCCGCTCACTGCACTTTTCACCAACTTGTGGATCTGATACTTCAACTTGTGGTCGATAGGTTTGATCTTTTCCAATATTGTCCTGGTTTAATCAGGATAAATATTATTTCTTAGAATCATGTGACACAAATTCTCGAATTTCGCGCATCAAATTACCCAGAAAATGGAAATATTATGCAGCAAGGCCATACTTTCTAAAATCTATATATGTTTGGGATCTCCTAGGAACATAGATTTTGATTCCACTATCAGGGTTCTGGATTTATCCACAATGTATTCCATTGAACTTATTTTCTACTTCAAATTCTGTCTCACAACACTCTTGACAGTCATATTATTTGAATTCATCTCCTGGATTGATAGGATCAGTAGATTCAGACTAGGACCCACAAAAGATCCAAATAACCTATTTTCTACTTCAGATTCTGACTCATGACACTTCACAAATTTAGGACAGTCATTTTTGAATTCAGCATAGCAAAATACCCAAGTGTAACAGCAAGGAATGAAAACGGGAATTTTGTCCTAGAAAGCTCTACAAAATATTGTGGAGGTATTGAGGTTTCCTTGTGAGATAAATTAAAAATATCCTAACAAACTCTATCCCAGGTAAATCAGGTGAATAGATTCCAAATCAAACATCAATTATTCAATGCTAGGAACCACAAGGGTTCAAAGTACAATTTTTTAATCTCAAACTTGCCCCTGCGAAACACGATTTTCTGACAATATATTAGATTTCAGTGTCCCAAATGATCTGAATGTACCAAGTTTCCTTCCTTGCAACAACAGGAGACACAAATGCAAAATTGTTCTATGTTTAGAGGTTTATTATAAGAAAATTTTCAAAAAGATCTGCGCATGATGGTAAATTTGCCCTATTCAAAATCTACTTTTCTAAAATATGTGCAGTCAAGCCGACACTTCAAACTCTTGGGATCAGCAGGTTTAGATCAAGGTGTTTGTCTCAGCAAACCAGAAAACCTAGTACTTCAATTCAAATGTAGAGTTTAACACAGCAAAGCAGTACAGAATTATGAGGAGTGTAAAACAAAAAGTTTTAAATTATTTTTGAGAACAAAACAATTTGTTATACAACCTACCTGATCTCGACTAATCTATCAATACAGGGATCCCCCTCGATCTTCTCCCCAGAACATTTCCTCAGAACCACATAAGTGAGGTTAATCAGATAGCTGAGTAGCATGTTGTATTTCATTTCAAGGAAGCTGAGTCCTTGACCTGTGGACAGCTCCCCTTTTCGCACCTTCTGGATCATTTTGTCCACCAGTGAGGCCACATGTTGGGCACTCAAATTCATCTCTGTGAGTAGCATCAGTGCTTGTGGCAACTCGCTCTGGACACATGACGAATCTGGTGCCTAAGAGGTCAGAAAAAAAATATGTAAAATACAAAAATATATCTGTAAAAAAAATATAGCAATGTGATGAGAAGTACAGAGTCAGCCTATTTGATATCTTTTTTCACAAATTTTACAATACAAAATAGACTAGGCAATATTGCAATACAAAAACATGTTTTAGACCAGGCAGATTGATTTGAGGTGTATGTTTTATAAGAACAAATTTCTATTGGAGGCATTTCAGGCTGTTATATGATGCAGCCTCTAAATGAAGAATACTTTTTTCCAATATTTGGCTATACTTAAGATTCCTCTATCATATCAGTAATAATATACCTTCTTGCCATTATAAAGAAAATTTGTTATGGGATAGCAATGTTTGCCATTTTTTTTATTCTGTTCAACATATTTTGGTAAGATGTTCTACCTGGAATATGTGCACATACACCATCAGGATCGGCAGTAACATTTTCTGAATAGGAATGTTCCTGCCTTCAGAATATTCTGAATGTATAATACAATAATCACAGGAATGGTTAGAATCTGTTTGGCGTGTATGAATGGCCAAAGAAATAGATAGATGCAAGAGACAACTGCAGGTTGAGGTTCATAAGTTATCTACGAGTACATGGTGAAAATAAGGGTACAATGAAAGATGAGCTTCCTTGTGCAAATGATGCATAAGTGGAGAAAAACAACTGAAAAATCGCATGGGGCTCCAAGGGACACTAGACACTGGTTTTTCATTGAGAAGGGTTACTACAAAAAATCTTCCTGAATGATGTAAATTACAAAAATGGTTCAACTCTTAAGCATAATGTATCCACAGCATCAGTCTGATACGAATTGAAATCCGTGGTGAACACATTGATTTTTCGTCAATAAAACGATAAAAAACAAAATAACTTCCTATACCTTTTTCATTTTTCCAAATATTGCATTTTTCAGCATAATAAACAAACCGTGTAACCACACATACGGTTTTTGTTAGTTTTAGGTTAGAAACGGTAATTTTCAACTTATTTTCACGATATAACTTCATTTATAGAAAAACCACATTTCCAGGAAAAATGATAAATGGTGTCCATTTGCATAAAAATCTGTTCGCCATCTTTTATATCAAAGCGTTGACAGAAAAAAATAGGGGCAGTTTTTAAAGCTATAAATTCGCGGTTTTCTCCAGTTTCCACTACTTTTATGAGACAAAATGTTAGCATACGCACCTGTACCATATTTCTGAAGCAGTTTTTCCACTTAAAAATACATAACAACTTATAAATGTCCGGAAAACAAGAAATACACGTGCACAACTTTTATATCGGAACGGGCTTTTTTGATCAGTTTTATTGGAATGGGAAAGGGGGGATGAATCATGGAATTACGTCACAAATGCAGCTACCATCCATAGGCGGGTCCTACGGTAAACCAAGGAAATGTTGGAAGTAATATTGGAATCTCCTTGATTTTTATCGGTTTTCTCTTGAATGAAGATTTTAATGAATCACATATTTATTTTTAGATAGCCTTAGAAATTTTGTATAAGTTTAGTGTAAGTACAAGATTGGCTAAATTATCACAATGCACCCTTTAGTACGTATATGAGAAGGGGATGAAAGAAGTCGGGAGATATAAAAAAGACGCGGGAAGTTTGAAAATAGTCCACAGAAAAAATTCACCTCATGACCACCGCTCATACAAGCATTGAGTTTGCATCTAACGACTTGTCTGCATTCGAAAGGTTTAAGTAATTGAAAGTTGGCAAAGAAATTTTGAAATAGTGGTGTATGCGTAACGTATCGTCCCGTTTTTTACCCTCCGCCAGTCCTGCACAAAAAGCTGAGTATGCAAAATTGTCCCTCATAATTGCGCGAAAACGCGCCCGGTCAGTCAGGAACCTCCAGCGACATTTCAGGCATGATACATTTTCGAGAGATATTTTGCGAAAGTGTACCTGCCCCCAAAATTGTAAATAGCGGCTTCCGATCGGATTCCCAGTAGGGGGCACTGCCCCATCTGGCTCCCCTTGCAACACGCCCCTCAGCTTCGAATCCTGGAAAATAGCCCTATTAATTGACACATTGACAAATTAGACACACGGTAATGTCGCAGCGCAATGGCAGTCGGTCTTTCTGGTCGCTAATTGAAAAGAACCTCGCATCTCATACGACAGTAGACTTCCACCACTCACGTGTCAGGGTGGAACGACTCAAAGGCCAAGGCTGAAGTGCTGCCAATCCGTCACCTTCCCAAAAAACTGGAAATTTGCTCATGTCCAATCCATCCCAATAAACGATCTAAGACCTACCCTTACAACTACAGGCCTATAGCTCTGCTTTCAGTTATAAGTAAGGTGACGGAGAGGTGCATAAATCGCGAGCTCTGAACTACCTCGAACGTCACAGCTTGATTAGCGAGAGGTAGTATGGTTTCCGGCACCAGCGATCCACAGGGGACCTCCTAGCTTACGTAAAGCAACTGTGGAGTAAACTCATCCAGTCTTATGATGAGGCTCATGTCGTTGATCTTGACATCTCGAAAGCGTTTGATCAGCTGTGGCTCGCTGCCCTCTTAAGCAAACTTCCATCCTATGGCCTCCCAGAAAACCTTTGCAGATGGGTGGCTGACTTTATCTCTGGCCGCAAGATATTGGGATCGGTCTTGGCTCCGACACTTTTCCTCTTACATATCAACGACCTGCTTTACTGCACGATCAACCCAATCAGCAACAGTCTTGAACAGTTTAATGCTTCCAAAACACAGTACTGTACTTTGATGAACAAAAAGCGCCCTAGCGCTCATTCGGTTTCGATGGATGGCCGAGTTCTGCCAAAGTGTCATTCATTTGGGCTGGTCGGAGTCCAGATTACCGAGGACCTGATCTGGTACGAACACATCTCGTCAATAGCGGCAGCTGCTGGGAAAAAGCTAGGCTATTTGTTTAGACCTAAGAAGTAATTTTCTCCGCATGACCTTCTCACTCTATACGTATACAAGGCCTAGCCTCAAGTATTGCTCACACGTTTGGGGTGCTGCCGCCCGACTACATAATTTATGCTCGATGCTGTCTAGAGGAGGGCTGTCCGACTGACCGATGACTCTTCTCTATCTGACAGTCTCGGGACCCTTTCGCACCGGCGGGCTGTCGCCGATCTAGCTCTCTTCTACCGCTACACCAACCGGCTTTGCTACTCAGAGCTCTCTTCCATGATGCCGCCGCACGATGTGCTTGCCAGTCAGACCCGCCTGACTTTGGCCTGCCATCTTAACCGTGTCGAACTTCGTACCTCCAGAACTGGCCGACACGACCGCTCCTTTGGCCTGAGGGTGTCGAGATTGTGGAACAATCTACAAGAGGAAGCTTTTCGACGTTCTATTAGCCTTAGGCATTTCAAAAATCGGATTAACAAAATTTCTTTGGGATCATCATAGCAGCCACAGTGTTCCGGCATTTAGGCCCGTATCGTCAGTCGTCCCTACAATTGTAGGGTGCGTTTATGGCCACCTTGATTGTCATACTCTTTTCTCTCCTTCAAAAATTTCTAGATTACACTCGTCCCGTGTCAGCGTCAGCGCTCTCCTATTGTTAAGATATGTTTTCCTTTTAAATTGTAGGAAATTTCAGGCTGATAAAACATGATATACCTCAAAAGCAAACACAATTTGATGCAAATAGATTTTTGTGACATAAACTCAAAATAGAGCTCTGACACGGAGAAGTAGAAAACTATGACAATCAAGGAGGCCATAAACGCGCCCTACAATTGTAGGGACGACTGACGATACGGGCCTTAGGCTTCTGCCTGCGCGGCTGCTTCGGTATAAAAAAACAAAAACATAAACGGAACTCCCACTTCGACTTAAAAAACAGATGGTCACATTATGTACCAATTATGAATATTGTGTTATACTTACCTGTATTCAAGATCATGACTATTAGCATAGGAAGTGAAAACACGTTATCTGATATATTTCTCTGCATAATTTTAATGTGTATCAGGGATTGTATTCTCTATGAGACAATATTAATAACAGCTAGAATACAGACTTTGTTTGACCATTTGTCATGTTCCGGTTCCTCGAATCATATTCGGAAGAAACAGGTCCAATTTAGCGACCTTCAGACTATTGTAGTAACACACTGTATAGAAATGTGATAATGGAGGAAACAACGAACCGTCACCTTTCATGGTACTGAAGAAGATCACCTTTGTGATTCAAATGCTTATAGTAAAGATTCTGCCAATATATGTGGTTTTATTGGCTGGACATGCATGGGGAATTAGCTTTAATTTATACAGTGTCTCACAAAGAATCGCAGCAATCGATAACTCGGAAAGTACAGGGGACAGGCAAATACGATTTGGGGTTTTGATCAAGTTTATGAAACCAAGAGGGCTAAAATATTTTCAAAATGATGGCACTTTCGGATATACCGAAAGTTTTGCCCACATGCTTATTCTGAATGTATGTATGTAATGTTCAATTTTTGGATTCTACGCCAGATTTTAAACACATTTCCATGGCTTACGTCGCTCTATCTCAAATTTCGCAAATGCATCAGGCCTATAAAAAAATCAAATCAATTTTCATCTGTATTGATATGATTTGTAATGGTTAACGTATAAGAAGGGGCTTGCTTTAGTAGACTTCATTCAATAAGATAAATAATAATACAGAGTTGTGAAAAAAATAATGAAGTTTGGTTTTAAAAACCCACAAGTAGTTTTTGTACATGGAAATCACCTGTTTTTAAACGTTTATCATATTAAGCATTAAATTAAGGATAGTTTTGTATCAGGTTGCTCTTTCTTCCCAAATTAGTAGTTCTCGATTTAGACTGGTCCGTTTTTCTATTGCAAGAGTACATCACATTGGTACAGAGGACACGCAATGGTTAAAAAAAATAACGTCAAGCAGATTAACTGTAAACTTACTATGCAACACCATAATCAATCAGTTCATGAAAGATTAAGCTAAGCCGTAATTTAAATCCTCTGAGAAAAAAGTCAGTTATGAAAATGTACAACGGATTAAGTCAGTCAAAGAGGCCCATATAATTAGTCCATGCTCTACCGGTAGTTACGGTCCATCTGGCAACGTTGTCCCATTCCACATATGCGCAGCAGTGCCCAACGTGGCATCGATGCAGCAAGTTATCATTCATTTCGTGCGTGGTCAGTGTAACTTTTTGCCCAGCTGGGCGGTGGGCGTATCGCCAGTAGGACACCTTTATGGTCTCCTTGATTTTCATAGCTTTTTCTCTCCTTCAGAAAGGCTGAGGTATTTCTAGATTTCTACTGCCCCGTGGCAGTATCAGCGTTCTCCTATTGTGAGGCTATGTTTTCTTTTTGAATTGGAAATTTCAGGCTGATAGAACAGATGATATAAATCAAAAGCATGAACAATTTGATGCAAATAGATATTTGTAACACTATGGAAATCAAGGAGGCCTACGATTGTAGGAACGACGGACAATACCCCTTAAACCAGTCTGACACGATGCGGCGAATGCCTTACAACATTGGACACATTGCCATTCGCCACATCGTGTGGGAGAGCGCTGACGCATGTGTCCAACGTTCGCAACATGGCACGTTCGGGCTCTTGTCGGTAAATTTGAACCGCGGCAAAGGACGTTATAACGTTGGAAGCATGGTTCCTTACGCTCCCACACGAGATGTCATCTGTTTCATGGTTTTAGGTTAGAACCAGTAGCGGCGAAAAACATTATTTACTTGTTTGCTGTGATTGTGGTGAAGTAGTGGTTTTTGAAAAGAACTTTGATTTGAATTAAATTAGTATACATACAAAGCATAGGCTGCCATAACAACACTTTTTTCATATTACTAATATTTTGTACATTTCGCAGGTGAGTTATGGCTGGCTTAAGGATATGAATTTTAGTAAATTATAAATTATCAAGTGCTTACAGTTGTTTCATTATAATGTCCTGTTGCAATGTAAGACTAGTTGAAAAATATATTGCCTTGCATTTCATAACTAACGAAAACGATTAAATAAATGATAACTGAAAGTACTATCAGGATTTTGATGAAATTTTGACCCTGGGTTACTACTATGAAAATGACGAAAAAACTCTGCAGTTTTTGAAAATCGGTAGAGAGGCGGCAGCATTATCTTCGAAAAACAAACAAAAAACGGTCGAACTTCGTTTTTCGACATTTCTGAGGCTTCCGACAGGCTTAAGTTTTGGTCGCTGAAGACAGATCTAAAATTATTTTTCGGCGCTCGAAAAAATTGTTTCATCATTTCATTTTTCCTTCAGTTGTAAAGGTTCAAGTACGACCCTGACACCGATAATAGACGTTAGCGCAACTATGCGTCGAAC